AGCCATGAAGATATCAATTTACAGTCCTACTGACCAGGCATCATGGTTTGCTATGTGTGAATCAACTTTTGATTTAGCCGCACATAAGCCTGTTACAGATCCCAAGAAAAGTTCCACCACCTAAGATTGCCTTTTTGGTTCGAGATATCATACTTCGGGAATGCACAGATTCTTCTTACAGAGACCTGAAAGCTGCCATTATGAATCGTTGTGGGGAAAGCAGTACCAAGAAAATCCGGAAATTACTCAAAGGGGAGCAACCTGGAGATGAGAAACCATCCAAATTGCTTTGTGTCATGAAAAGGCGTGCAGAAAAACATGATATTGCTCACTCATTGTTACTAGAGTTATTTATTTAGCAAATCCCGCCAAATGTTCAAACTATCCTAGTGTCGGTTGAGCTGCTCGAAAGCTGCCAGCATTGCCAATAGAATATTGTAAGCTACACACGCTCGTGGTGACTTACGCTTTAACCTCTGAGTCTCATCACCTTTTTATTAGAGACAGAAAGTCAAATAAAATATTTTTGTGCTACACTAGCTCAGATGTCAGCTTCCTCCCAGCAATCGGGAGTGTCAACAAATATTATTGGATCTGATTTTTTGCATTATTTTTATTTATTACCTGATCTAAGGAATAAAATGCTTGTTGATTTAAAAACTCATTTAAAAATTAATTGCAGTGTAATTATTTGTATTCTATTAAAGCAGTTATTCCAAATAGTGTATATGATAAATTGCTATCTAACTATCCTTCTTTGTCGAAGCTTCCTTATCTTAATGAGACTGTTAAACGTAATACTATGCATTTCTTGAAACTATTGGTCCTCCTGTTTCATGTAAGCCCAGGAGACTAGCTCCAGAGAGATTAAAAATTGGTAAGAACAAAATAAAAATAATGATCAATTTAGGCCCCACGTGCAACCCTCCAAAAGTAATTACTCCTCTCCTCTTCACATGTCAAAGAAAGGCACAAATGCATGGACACCTGTGGGAGATTTTCGGAGGTTAAATGCACAAACAGTGAAGGATAAGGATCTTATTCCCAACATTTGTTGGAAAAAGCCTATCATCAAATTCCAGTTAATCTCTCTGATATTCATAAAATGGCTATTGCCACTACTTTCGGACTTTTTGAGGGCACAAGAATGCAATTTCGGCTATGCAATGCAGCTGCAACCTTTCAGCACTTTATTGATGAAGTAACTCATGAACTGCCAGGAGTATTTGCTTTTGTCGATGATATATTGCTTGTGTCAAAGGACGAAACTGAGAATTTGATACACTTGAAAGCTCTTTTCGAAAGATTAAGTAATTATGGGTTCAGAATTAATGTATCTAAATGCAATTTTGGTTTAATATTTTTGGAGTTTTTAGGTTTTCATGTATCTCTGAACAGGGTTTAAAACCTTTACCCGACAAGGTGGAAGCCATTCAAAAATTTCCTAAACCAAACATCTTAACTCAGTTAAGGAAATTTCTCGGCATATTTAACTTTTACAGACATTTTCCCCCAAGAGCTTCGTAAGTGTTAGCTCCCTTGAGTAGGTTATTGGAAGGTCACAACAACAAAAAGAAACTGTCACAACGAAGCAAAATAAAAGAATACCCTCTCGAATGGGACAATGAGGCTGAGAAAGCATTCACAAATGCAAAAAAATCTGATGTGTACAACACATGACTTCCTTGTACAGAATATTAAACTATACGCATTTTTTCTTGCATTTTATTCAAACTTATTAGATTGAATTAAATCTACTTCGCCGACAGCGCATAAACCACAATAGAATAAATGCATTCTTTAAAATTCACTTTGTTTACCATAGCGACACTCTGGCGCTAGGTTTACTTAACAGTATTATATTTCGTTCATATTATAACTCTGAATGCACAAAATTTACATCATTTAAAGAATTATCTAATCATTGCTACATGTTCTATTTAAATACTATAATAAAGCTAGAACTATGTATAAAAGAAATTAAGCAAAAAAAATGAAAAAGAAACAGTTTTTCACAGACGATTCAGTATTTCTCATGCAATTAATTCAGTTCTCACTTCGCGACAAGGCAAAAATACATAAAAACTCAACATATCTGTATTAAAAATTACGAAGTAAATCTTAAACGCTTATTTCCTTGAAAAAATTCAAGAAAGGATTAAGCATGATTTAATTGGCAATAATAAATGAATGTGTTATCTTTGTTTTTGGGAAGCTAAGTTTCTCTAGATGGGCAACAAATCCACTAGTATCCTGTTTCAAATGTAAACATCAATAGCTGCCATTAAAATAGGCTTAGTGGCACTTAAACAATTTTAAAATTGTTGATAATTCTAAAAATATTGCATACAGATTTACTAAAGGCATAAAACCCTTAACCGGAAGATAAAAACAACATAATTCAATCATTTTTAAAGCAAAAAATGTACAATTTACAAATTTACAAACATATAAGAGTAAAGAAACTGAGATCACTGAGCCGAGTAACAGAGTGGATATATTTTATAAATATATTTATATACATTTGGCGCGGCCGATTGAAACCAAAATACGAGGTGCACATCTACATGTTATAGTAGTCTTATATACAAAATTTCAACGTTCTGAGGCTACTCGTTTTTGAGTTATGCGAGATACATACGTACAGACGCCACGAAAAATTCTCTTCACAATTCATTTTAAAGCAGTTTTTTAGTTTTTTTGGAAGAAAAGTGTCTTTTATTCTGTCCTTACGTACAGATATCACACAAAACATCGTTAAATTGCATTCGAAAGCGGTCAAAGTGGATATTTTTGTTGAAATATGCTGCCTGAAGCTTTTCGTGATTACAATACTTCCTTTTTACGACACCAATTCCTGGTGCTACCTTGAAACTTTGTACTGATGCATCAGATGTTGTGGTTGGTAGCTCATTAATGCAATTGCATAATTCCGTTTGGCAACCCATTGCGTTTCTATCTGTTAAAATCAGCAAAAGTCATAGGAAATTGTCAATTTATGATTGAAAACTATTGGCTATATATTTGTTGATTAGGAAATTTCGGCACACACTTGAAGGCAGGACCCTTACAATCTACACAGATCAAAAGGCTTAGCCAAGCTTAAACAACTTTTAAATTGTTGATAATTCTACAACTATTACATGCAGATTAATTAAAGGCATAAAAATCTTAACTGGAAGATAAGAATATCATAATTCAATTATTTTTAAAGCAAAAAATTCACAAGACTAAAAAAAAAAAAAAAATGAGCTCACTGAGCTAAGTAACAGAGCGGGTATATATATATATATATATAAATAATTGGAAAAGTTTTCATATACCATCTGCAACAGAAATTCAATTAAAACCATAAATATTAAAATATTTTTTAATTAGTATTTTCTAAACCTCTATTGCTTCAAAAACATAAAAATCTGTAAAGAAATATTAATTGCAAAAATACCAAATTCAGAAGTAAAAATTTTTTTAGTATTGAAAAGGTAGCTATTGTCATTGATTGCAGATTAATGGACAGACAAGGGGCAACTAAATAGACTGAGAGTGTTTTGTCTTGTTCCAAACAAGCATCAAATTATATTTCTGTTACAGCTAAATCAGAAGTCATGAATATTCAAACAAAATAAAGATATTAGTCCATTGAAGCCAAAAGAATTTAAAAACAAAATAAATTAGTAAATAATCTTTTAAATTTCAGTTGACTTTCAAAAGTTTCATCGCCAATTAAGGGTAAACTCTCTTATATAGAGGACAACACTTTTTACAATAACCCTCTTGCATTCCAGCACTGAATACAATTGCATTGCCAGTCATTTTGTTTTAAATTTTAGCAGGCATGTAACTTAATTTTAATTTCCTTTCTAGGTTTGATCTTGGTCTAAATATCTAATTTTAAGGATTTTGTCAATTTTGACCTTTTTTTTTTTTTTGATTTAGAATTACTTTGCAATTGTTAAAAAATGTATCATTTTTGTTTTTAACTTTGTATTTGAGTTTGAAAATGAGAGTGCTGGGGATGTATTTTCTAAAATAAGCATCTCTTTTAGTTGGTTTCAGTTTAGTTTAGTTATGTTCTTAGTTAGAAACATGAAATTTAAAATACTACTTACTAATTTATTAGTCCAAAGGGGCAATTTGCCCTGAAGGACTATTAATTTCGTTTTGGCATTTTACGTCAAAAACTTTAAAAGCCTGTATCATTTTTCAAATCGTTGCCACCATATATTATCGCTCTGTCTTATATTTAAAGAAATTAAATAATGAAGAATCTGCATAAATGTATGTATGTTTCTCGCATTGTGATAAAACAACAGCTGATGTTGCAAAACAGCTTATGTTTACAACTTTATGTTGCAAAAGTTAAATCTACTTCTGTTTTGGAATATCTAATATCTGCTTCTGTTTTGTACCTAATATCTGCTTCTGCTTCTGTTAAATCTACTTCTGTTTTGGAATATCTAATATCTTCTTGCTAATATCTGCTGCAAATAAAGGGGTCAAAACATCCATGTGGTATGTGCATAATGGGATCAAAATGAAAATATAAACTCTAAAAATCCATGGAACTACTGCATGAAATTCAGGGTAACTTCTTCAGTATGTCCATTCACTGAATGCTGCTAAATGGATATACTGAACATTTGTTCTTGCTGAGAGGAGACATGATACATTGCTAAAATTTTGATTATTAATGTTCAAACCAATCATTTGAAACACTTGAATGAACTCTTTTATTTTCAGTAAAGCATAATTGTTTGAGATAAAATGATACCTTCAGACTTTAAAATTTTGAGAAAAAAGTTAAAACTTCGAGATAAATTATGTGAGCAAGAAGGCTTTCATTTTTTAAGTTTGTATGAGTATTCTATTAGTAACTAAAATTTGGATATTATGGACAGTAATTTTTTAATACATTACAGAATTTTTTAATGATTTTATTTAACAATAAGTATTTATTTCTTTTTAAGTGAAAAGAAAAAATAAAAATGTAAATAATTTACCAATTTTGTCTAACTGCCGGGAAACATGCTTTGAATTCTCCCACAGTTTTGCTTTAAAACACTTTCCCAGAATTATTGCATTGTACAAAACAGAAAACCCTTTCATATCAATAGCCAGGTATTCTGATAAACCTGCAGTAGAAATAAAAACAAAAATACACGTTAGATGAAACTCACATTTTATTTCACACAGATTTCTATGTCATTAATTGAAAAACCCTGGACATGAGGTTCACAGCTAGAATCATCACTTACATCATCCTTTCATCCAAAACTGTCAATGCTTTTATCAGATACCTCATCAAAATTTGGCAAGTAAACTGTGTTCCACTTTGACACAATTGCAATAAAACATTTAAGGAGTAAATCAAAATTCTAATGCATGAAATAAAATGCCAAATAAGCCTTTCTGAATGAGAAAATAAAATTCATCAGTGCTGCAATGCCAGCATGAAGATACAGTTGGTTAGTGCTAATACCTAGTGAGTAAATAGAGAATTCTTCGGCCTATCATATTTATCAACACAGTATCATTATATCAACACAAGAGGGGGGATTAGATTTTACCATACGATTTCTGAATGTGTGCATATATATATATTTGTAGCATTATAACATGAGGTTATCAACCATGCAAGTAATGAAAAAAAAAAAAAAAAAAAAAGAGAAGGGGGGCTATTCCTGTATCTTTTGTTCCACTTGGATGACTGATGAAATTTAACATGCATTTTTCACATTCCAAACACGTAACTTAAGATACCTATTAGATTTATATATAGTGTTCTCCTAACATACATTTTTAACATAAAGCTGGACTTTTTCTGAATTTCTGATACTTTCCATAGTTTTAATTAAATGCTTTAAATTATGCCTAAATACTAAACTTTTTAAAAACAGTAAGAATAGTTAAGGAAGTTAAGATTGCTAAGGAAATCTAATTTTAATTTTAATTTTCAACTAAGCACCACAACTAATTTCACTTGATGGATTGCTTGTTAAGCTTAGTTTTTACTTCCTAGAAATTTCTGCATTGAATATTCTGTATTGATTATGCTACAAAGGAATCCTACTTGCAAAATTTAGTTAGTTTTACTGTCTACAGATGGCAGTACGAAGTTCCATGAATTTCTTTTCATAATGAAGGGGTACAGAAATACGAGGGCTATCCAGAAAGTAGATTACGTTTTGGAATAAAAAATAAACAAAGTATAGGAAACAAATTTTATTATATACAGATGAAAGCCACACTCAAATACTACTTTTCTACATAGTCACCATACAAATTAAGGCATTTATCGTAGCGATGTACGAGCTTGGAAATTCCTTCGTCGAAAAATTCGGCCGCCTGCGCCTTCAACCACTTCGTTACCTCTTCTTGCAGCTGTGCGTCGTCATCAAAACGCTGCATAGCCAGCCACTTCTTCATTGCTGGGAATAGGTGGAAGTCGCTCGGTGCCAGGTCGGGACTGTACGGCGGATGAGGAAACAACTCCCACTTAAAAGATTCAAGAACTTTACGAGTGACATTTGCCGTGTGGGGCCGGGCGTTGTCGTGAATCAACAAGATCTTAGAGCTCAAAATTCCTCTGCGCTTGTTTTGAATTGCTCTTCTGAGTTTTTGGAGAGTTTGGCAATACCTTTGAGAGTTTATTGTAGTGCCTCTTTCCAGGAAGTCCACCAAAATTACACCTTTTCTGTCCCAAAAAACAGTCGCCATCATCTTCCTTGCCGACATTGTTTGCATGCATTTCTTGGGTTTTTTAGGGGAGAACTTGTGTGCCCCCACTGCATTGATTGCAATTTCGTTTCACAGTTCACATGTTTCGTCACCAGTAACGATGCGATCGAGTAAAGAGTCACCATCCTTATGGTAAGCGTCCAAAAAGTTCAACGCTGCAGCCATTCGCTGATTTTTGTGGTCCTCTGTCAAGATTTTTGGAATCCATCTTGCACAAAACTTGTGGTAACCAAGCTTTTCGCTGATGATTTCGTGCAACAAACTTCGCGAAATTTGTGGAAAACTCAAAGAAAGTTCCGTTATTGTGAAATTTCGATTTTCACGGACTTTAGCATCGACTTTTTCGAGAAGTTCGGCGGTCACTATGCTGGGTCAAAGAATCTCTAAGGAGAAGTAAAGGTTTCCCGAAGCAAATGTGGCTCCCTCAGACTGAAGAGACGCTCTGTGTATGTCCCTGAAGCTTATTTTAAAGGGGCAATCCATCCACCCTCCGTACCCTTCTGCGCATGTGCGAAATAGCAGGCAAGAACGTCAGCCATATTAGCAATCTTTTATCGCGTTGTTCGAAGAGGTTCTTTGTGAAAGTTTTTTTCAGTTCTTTTATCTAGCTATTTAAGCAGATCATAAGATGGATGTTTTCGCAAGACGATCACCGGAATTCACCCGATTCTCTTTCTGTGAGGTAAGCTTGCTTTTTTAATTCGAAAACCTATCATAGATTTTAAAAATTGATTTTGTATAGTACATTAATTTTTATTTCCAAGCTCCAAAAATATTTTGTCTCATTGTATAACACAACAGCTAGATTTTCATTCTTAATATATTAACTTTGCATTTTAGCATATGAATCTCAATTTATATAATTAATCATATGGCAAACAAATACTTATAGCTTGTGCAGGCATATTGATATTTCTTTCCAAATTTTTTAAATGAGTTTTAAGCTTTAAAGTCAACTAATAATAATATTACGACAAAACGAGCGATCAGGAATAAATTTGCCATTTATAATAATGCGGCAGCTAATGGCATGTATGATTGCATAAATTAATTTTATTAATAAATTGTATTATGCTCCAGTTTAAATTTATGCTATAGATTACCAAATAGTTTATCTGAGAAAATTTATAAACTTATTTAATATTAGTGGCCACTGAAGATTATTTTTAATTTAGTATATTGATAGTTATATACAATTTTTCGTATTTTATGATTATTTTTTGAAAAATTTTATATTCATTATTATAAAAATATAATTTTGATTTCTCTCAATATTTGATGTGGTGTGGTGAATAACAGACTAACTCACTCTATCTTTTACTTAGCAAACAACCCAAATCCTGGTATCGCTGTTGTGTTTGTGGGACAACGTCTCGAAAAACACCAGACAGGAAATTCTTCAGATTTCCTAAGGATCCTATTAGGTAAATCATTTTAAGTTTAAAAGAAACTAAGCTGTGATTATTAATATATATATATCTCAATTTTTCGATAGAGAAGCAAATATTTCATGTATTATGGAATAATTTAAATAAATAGCTTGTTTTTTTCCATTAAGTGTTCCTCATCATAGACAAATAGTTCAGTGTTCTTCTGTAAATATCCAAGATAACTGTGCTTGTGATACAGTTGCTCCCAAAAGTGTTCATACACTTTAAGAATTTGTAAAAAATGCGCTGTAGCCCGGAATTGAATTTGATTATAAAGCCCAATATTTTCTCATATCTCGAAGTGATTTTGAATAAAACCAAATTTTTTTTAAAAATTTGTTTCTTCTAATATTTTAGAAGATAATTTTTGTAATTTATGTATTACAAGCTTGAATGCTGCAGGATATCCTACAAAAACTGACAGAAATTTAACTGCATTATTTCGTAATAGTGTCTGCAGATTTCTTTAAAGTGCACGAAGATTTTTGTGAGGTAACTTTTTTGTTACTTTTTAATTATTAATTCCCCCCCAAAAAAGTTTTACTGTATTCTTAAAATACTTTTATAGAGTTTTGCTAAGATAAATTTATAGATATATTAAAAAATTCTCATAAGCACTATTTCACTGAAACACGTAAATGTACGAACACTTTAGGGAACCACTACATATTGGTGTGAATAAGGAAGGAAACATTTTAAAGATGCACTTTACGAACAATGTGTACTTTTTATTGGTGCCTTATCCTTTTTTAATCATATTGTTAACAAAACAGTACAAAGAAATGCTAAATTGTTTAACTAGATACTATGACCGGTAACTACAATTTAACGTAATATCTGCAAAATTATTGGTTTTCGTACATCAAAATAAAATTAGATGAAATGAAATCATTTCAGAATTTGTTACTAATGTAAAAGGAATTTTATAATAAGGTTAAATTTCTAGTAACACTGAAAAGAGGTTCTTTTAATTAAAGAAAATAAAAAATAAAATTTCAAAAGTTTTTGTTTTCATAGATCAAAATAATAGAGAATTAGTATAAATATGTCAGAAATGTAATAAATCATATTAAGTTCATTGTGTTATACATGAATTTTTCCTTAAATTATAATTTAATGTTTGTTCTTAAAAAATATATAACCCTTCTCGAGATTGTGTAACTAATGTATAGGGAATGTTTTTAGTTTGCTATTTTTCTACTAACACTGAAAATGGATTTATTGAAATTTCAAAATATAAAAATGAATGTTTTCATTTTTATAGATCAAAACAATGGGCTGCCGCATGCAGTAATCAAGATTTGTTAAATAAATCACCTACTGATTTGTATACAAATGCAAGAATATGTTTGTCACATTTCAAAGATGGCGATTACTGTTCACCGAAGATGCGATATTTACATTCCTGTGCAGTGCCAACAAAATTTGAACAAACAGGTATCTACAATTTTTTTATTGAATAGGCTTGTGTTTTTAGTACATTTCATGTTTGTACTGTAAGAGATTCTTACATATTTCTACTATATGTCTAAATTTCTTTTAATAGATATTGAAGTTTCAAAAAGAATACGATTGGACTTAGGAATGTTACAAAGTAACTTAAAAAGAAAATTACAGTCAGAGGGAGTCCCATTCAACCGTAGAGAAATTGGCTGAAGATCTAGGCCAAACATCTTGTGATGCAGAACTAGCTGTTGAACAAGATGAAGCACTAATATGTATGGGTAAAGGTTTGTACACCTAAAAGCCAAAAGATAAGAAAATTAACAAACCAAGTTTCATATTTTAAAAAGAAAGTATGAACGCACAAAAAAGAATTGCTGTGTAGATGATATACTCCAGATGATTCGCCCAATGGTTAAGTTTAGTGTATACAATTTTATTAAAGGGCAGTTAAAAGCATCCTCTGTTTCAAAGTATGGACGACGTTGGTCTCTGGAGGACAAAAACTTATGCCTCCAGGTATACTTAAGTAGTCCTAAAACTTATAATGTATTAAAAGCTTTCTTACATTTACCAAGCAAACCAACACTTCTAAAAGCAATTTCAAATATTTATCTAGAACCTGGCTTCTCAGCTGCTGTGCTTAATGCCATGAGGCTTGCCGTCAGTAAGCTGAAATATCCAGACAAGTACTGCATCTTGTCATTTGATGAAATGAGCTTAAAAACTAGTGTAATATATGACAAAAAAAATGACCCTATTGTTGGATTTGAAGATTATGGTTCTTACAATAAAACCATTGTAATTCCACAATATGCAACTCATGCTCTTGTTTTTATGGTACGTGGGTTGTGTAAAAAGTGGAAACAAGTTTTTGGTTACTTTTTTGCTTCTCACACTACACCAGGTTTTATGTTATGTACTTTGGTTATGGAAGCCCTGTCGAAATTATTTGACTGTGGTTTGACACCTGTGGCTATTGTATGTGATGTTTTAATAATAAATTTTAGCATTTTGTACTATTTTCAGTAAATGTGATATACCATGTTAACTCGTGTAATAGTCGCACTTTTCTTGCTAATTTTTCATTGTGAAAGTCTAGGCTACGATTATTATGCGGGGAAATCAACTACACAATATTGTACACTTTTGAAAATTTTTTCTTCCTTAAAAAGGGGGAGGTGACTATTATGCGAGTAAATACGGTAATTTAGAAAATAATTTGTGCTCTGGTTAAATTATTTGTATTATTTCAAAGTTCATTTCCATTATTTCAAATACATTTTTATGATTTTTATTACATATACAAATAGTAATTTGATCACATTTTGAAAGACAATTTCAGTTGTTTTTATTTAGCTTTTTAGTCACTTTTGAATGAGTTTTGAATATTTGAATGAGTTAAATAAAATATTATTTAACCTTACGTTCTGTAACTCTTTTATTATATTAGTTTCTTTCTTTTGTTGTAAATATTATATTTCAGTGTATGTGTGAGAAGCTTCTTATGTATTCAACATTATTATTTCTGTATAGTTTTAATGAATTTGTTTACTATTATTATTTCAATATGCTTAACAATAGCGCCATCTAAGAAATAACTCATCAATAATAGTGGATCACCTGTCATGTTATGCTCAAAGAGTACTGTGCAACAAAATTGATGGTTTGGATTGCCTGTCATGTTATGCTCAGAGAATGCTGTGCAACAAAATTGACGGTTATTAGTCGAAATATTGACTGTTACTAAAATTTTAAGTTTCGTAAAAGATCTCTCAGATTGTTTTAAATTTCTGAAAAATTTCTTGTTTATATTTTTATTATGTTTACTAATTACTTTTGGGTTATATTTATTATTATGTATTGATTTTGATGTTAATATTTTTAATTGTAATAAGATATTGATAATGTATTTCACTGTTTTCAATTTATTTAGAGGTGCTTTTAATTGTTCTTTAATTTTGTTTTCTGTTTCAGTTCGTTATATGCAAATTTTGCTTGTAAAATTTTAAATATGGTTTCCTAAAAATTTATTATGTATCGTATGATATGTTTTTTTTTTCTTTTTCTTTTTTAAGCTTACAGAATTGAATGTACTCATTGGTGGAATAATTCTGGATTAAAGAGATTTTTGGCAAATTAAAATTATGTAAAATCCAAGCATACAGCATTTTTAGAATTATTATAGGTATAGTGAAGGTGGAAAATAGGCATTTCTTGTAATTGCTATTTAAAAGAATTAATTTCTAATTTCATAATTTGAAACAATCTTCATCAGGATGAGCTGCAATATTTATTTGATTCAATGGATTATTTGCAAAACTTCCAAGACTTTTTAAATGTAATCTTGTGTTTGTTAATTTAAGTGAAATGCTTTTGGCTCTTGGTTGCAAACTTTGCTCTTTTTTCATAATGGTCATTCCAAATAATAATTTTTTTTTTTCTTAAATTTGAGGTCAGATAATTATAATGAATTCAGCGTTTTCAATTTATTTAGGGGTACTTGTAATTGTTTTTAATTATTTTTTCTGTTTTGGTTAGTTATATGCAAACTTTGCTTGTAAAATTTTAAATATGGAGTTATAAAAATTTATTATGAATTGTATGTTATGTGTTTTTTATTTTGTAAGCTTACAGAATGAAATGCACTCATTGGTCGAATAATTTGGTATTAAATAGATTTTTGCAAAATTAAAATTATGTAAAATCCAAGCTACATCATTTTTAGAATTATTATATGTATAGTGAAGATGGAAAATAGTCATTTTTATAATTGCTATTTAAAAAAATCAATTTCTAATTTCATAATTTGAACTAATCTTCATCAGGATGAGCTGCAACAATATTTATTTGATTGAGTGGATTATTTAGAAAATTTCTTCCCAGGTTTTAATAACACCTGGAAGGTTTGATTTTCAAGTTCAGTATTTAATCTTATATTAATAAATGTAAGAAGTATTGAATATTTTATGAAAAAATAATGAAATCACTTATTTTAATAATTTATGTGAAATTCTTCAAAAGGCCTTTTAAGTGTAATTTTGTATTTCTTAATTTAAGTGAAATGCTTTTGGTTCTTGGCTGCAAAATTTGCTCATTGTTTTCAAAATGGTCATTCCAAATAATTATCTAAAAAATTTCTTGGTATTTGTGAAGATGCTTAAAATTATTTTGCATATGTATATTCTGAAACTTGAGAAATGTCAATAAAAATCATTTTTTTAACTCAAATGTGTTATTCTTTGTTTTAATATTTAATAATATGCTTGATATGAAAAGATTTACATTTTCATAAAAATATGAAAAGATTTACATTTTGATGCAATTAATTACATAAATAACGCTATTTTTAAAAAATAGCGTTATTTATGTAATTAATTGCATATTTTTTAAAAGTAGCGTTATTTATGTAATTAATTGCAGATTTGTTAGAAATCTAACAACACGACAGTAGTTAATTTTGTTTTCTATTAATTCTGATGTTAGTTATAAATTAATGCTTGATATTATATCAAAAGAATAACAATTATGTGAGTTTACAGAAAGAAGGGTTAAGGGGAAAAAATAAGGAATAGAAAAATAATAAAATTTATTTATTATTCATCTTTTTTCATTTATTTGCAATTGAATTTTAGGATTTTCTATGCGAAACATCTAGACGATTAAAGATTAGAAGATAAAAGGGGGATGTTTCCATAACCGGCACTTGGCGAAATTGCGGATTTGTTTACATCGGAAGTGAGCGTACGTGCGCCAGAATATGGTAACCCTGATAATTGTTGCAACCCAGACAGGGAATTTTCCTGAAGGAGGAAAAGGGAAATTTTCTGTTTACTTTTCGAACATTACGGTAAGAGAAAATAAAGTTTGAAAGTCGCAAATCATTATTAGTTCATATTTTCGCAAAACGTTTATTTTTCGAACATTACGGTAAAAGAAAATAAAGTTTTTTATATTTTCGCAAAACGTTTATGGGGTTTTGGGAGTTAAAAAATGAAGCAAATTATTATTATTAACATAACAAAAAGTTCCTTTTTTAAGTATTATATATGTTATAAATATTGCTATTGCCATGAAGACAAACTGGGCAAAGTTAAAATGAAACCAACAACAACAGCATTTAATTTATTATAGCTTTTTTCTTACTTTTACTAGAATTCTAATGATAAAATGATTAGTGCATTTAAATACATATTAAATGAAAATATTAAAATAGATATGGAGATGCATTAAATATGATTTGGACTAATTTAATTATGTATTCTTACATATATAGCTATGCACATTTAATTTTTCTCAATAAAAATAATTAAGCTATCCTTATTATTTTTATATGTCTATACATTTTTTAACTCTGCACATAGCTACTCAGAAAGAAAGATATATGGGTAGGATATAAGAAGATAAAAATTATTAATCTTCCCTTCAAAGTCAAATGGATATAGCTGTAGTATATGATTTCAAAAAAAGTAAATCATTAGAATATTAAGCTGAAAATATAAGTCTGAAGGAAAGAGATTTTTCTTAAATTCAAACTGTGCACAAAACATTTCAGATGCATTCAAACTCTGAACTGGAACATGCTAATTTACTGTTGTGGAACTAATATGAAAATAATATTGTTGACAGTATAGTAGTGTACCACCAAAGAATTTATGCTGGGAGAAGAAGCAAAGCTTCGATGACACCACAAAGCCAAATGATAACTGGCTTAATTTTTACTCTTTTTATGCATAAAATGTCATAGTTGTTAGTATCTCATTAAAATGTATTTTCTAATAATATAATGATTTGCAAATGATGGAAATTTACTTGTCATTAAAACATTTTGTTCTAAACATGCTTCAGCTTATCAAAGAAGTTAAAGCTATTCCAACCTATATCCCCATATTAAAGTTTTTTTGATTAAATCAGGTTCATGTCTAATGCATCAAAAATATAAATAAACCTTCTTTAGTATTTGTCAAACATCAGTTCTCATGGCCTTAAATTGGATGCAAGATTTATTTCACAAAGTTATGTTTTCACTTATGGGGCAAAACTTTTAAATTTGTTATTTGAATCTGTTACATTAGTCTTTATTTTAAAGAATATATTGTATGTCATATGGCCATGAAGGCAACCTGGTTAAAGTAGAAATGAAATCAAACTTTCTAATTAATGTGATTTGAAGCCATTGTGTTATACTTCGAGGAATATGTTATATGGTAAATATGTGTGCTCATGTTTTTCCTGGAAAGGGCATAACATTTTTTTACAGAAATAAGTTACCAACCTAAATCTATTGTCATGGCAATTAAATTTTTCTGAAAGAGCAGGATTATTTATAAGCCAAGTGCTAAACCTTTGTATTGTTACCCTGATCATGAAATTTTAAATGGTGATTTAATTTCTTTTTTCAGGTTGAACTGCCCTTCAATGAAAGCTTTTGCTCGATGTGTGGCCTGTAATAGCAATAAATGGGACTTTTGTGAACTGAAATCTGTTAGGCTTTCCAAAATCCAGAAAGGTAAAGTTTAACTTTTTATTTAAGCCTAATGTTCTTAAAATATATTAGAATATCCATAGGTGACATTTGATTATTGTTTAATAAAGACACCATAACAAAATAAGCTGATTGAATCACCAAATTTGTAACTTGTAACTTTTAAATATATCCAGACTGTCTGCTTTAATAAGGAAGTAACATACAGTGCATATATAGTAGTGTTTTGATTTTCATTTATCATTTTATTCTGTTTTAAGTATGAGTTCAGCAATGCTCCAACATAAGGTATTCCAATTTATATGAGCTTTAAGTCGTACAGCTCCTTATTTTATTTTGCATATTTATACTTGTTGTTTTGAAATTGTCAATAATTCATAAAATGCTGATGAACAAAACATTACTATGCCTATATATAAGAATTAGCTTTAATGAAATAAGAAGCATCAAAGTATATGCTAATTGCCCTAAAACTCCATACCCTTCTTCAAAACAGTACTTCAGTTATAACTGTGTTAACAGACGATGCAGTTGTTCAACATTTTTATACACTGTGCTGTTACTTTCATACTTTGGTTCAGGAAAGTAAATGGGATTTGATATTCTATATTTCTTCTTTTTTCCCCACATTATAATTATGAATCGAGTTATCAGAAAAGAATAATTAATTTTATGAAACCATTAGCATCAGAATAACTCCATTTCTTGCACATGTACTTTTTGTTTCCAATGGTGGATGCTTGCCTATGCCGGCATTGGCCACTCCTAAAATCAGATATGGTGATCTATTATGGAGGCACCTAATAGGCAGGCCACCTTTGCCTCCTATGAAGGGACAGATAATTTACATCCATGCCTTGTTCGTTATTCGAACCCGGGTCCCTCAGTATTGTACTCAGGCTTCCCTAATCACTATACCATCCGGGCAGCTACGACTTTATTTTAATATGCTATTTTGTATTGATATGTAATATGAAAAATACATTTTTATTATGTATTTTTTAAAACAAGTGCTTTTTAGTCATTGGTTCTATTTAACTAGAATTCACATGTATTGTTTTATATGCAAAATAAATACGACCCAGACTGATTGGAATCTGACTTCAGAGCTTTCGCTCGTTGCATCTGTCACATAGCTTCAGAGCTATAACTGTGTTATATTTAATTTTTAGTACTTAAATATTAATTTGTTAAAGTTAAAAAGTAATAAGGCTGAAGAATGTCAATGTGATATATTTCTTAACAATAATGTGCAGTAGTCCCTCTTTAAAAATGGTTTTGATTATCTGCAGACAATAAAAATTGAGAAAGTTATGAAAATTAGATTATTTTGTTGAATTCAAATTGGCCAAATGATAAAGATATACTTGCATATAAATCACTTCTGCATATGATTGAAGCTTTACAATATGTGCTTGTTAACTTCAGTTGTCTATAGTATTATTATTATGACAGTTTAACACTTGATATTTGCAGCACATTACCTCAGATTAGAACTATAGGATAAAATGTAGTTGAAAACTTTGGGAGGTTATAAATGAAATAAACGCAGAAGAAATTAACTCAAGCCATTACTATTGTGAATGAATAACAGAGCAGTTAGAAAATTTATTATAATTCAGAATTAATGTTTAGTACTGGCAAAGAGAAAGTGAATAGTGTATTAAGTCAGATAGTTTTCACAATAGAAATATTAACTTAAATAAAAAGAACAAAACTATAAATTTTCCCTCATTAATTATTAATATTTTTATTATGTTTCATTATTAAACATGTTTATTACTTGTGTATCCTGCCAAATAGACTGGCTGCATGGAAGTTTTCATAATTTTCTCTATGTGTGACATGAATTTATGCATCCAAAATGCTAACCTTTGTATGCAACACTCACTCATTTCTAATGCTTTAAAGTCCCAATACTCGTTTAATTTAGCATTTGCAGTATCAGCGTTGTTACACTATGAGTATTACTAATATTTTAATTCAGTGCTGCTTTTTAATTACTTTCACATTTATTTTATTCAATAAATAAATTAACTAAAATATAAAATTTATTGTGAATCGATTTTGTAATTATTTATGTTTATAATTTTTATCCCTTCCAGCTGATTAGGTGTGCAGAAGCAGCAGACTTGTAAATGTGAAGGAGCTATTTGCTTAGTTATGCAGTAGAATTCACCACCCTGCGGCAAGCTTCATTAAAGCTGTGAACAGCCAAGCTAACCATCTTCAGGGCAAGTGGCTGCATCAAGCAAACCCAGTGACATTCCAAAGAGGAATGTCAGTCAAAATAAAAACTTAATACCTAAATCTCGGAAAATCAGACAATTAAGCCACAAATCTTGTGACCAATTTTTCAGTTGCTGTGCTTAGTGCGATAAAGTTATATGGCAATAAACTGAAAAGCTATGGCAGGTATTCTATTGTACCCTTTAATGAAATCAATTTAAAGCAAGCTTATCATATGATAAGCAAAATGATTGTATCATTGGATATGAAGACTATGGTAATGATTGCATTGCTGGGTATGCAGGCTATGGTTCTACAATGAGCCAAATGTAATATCTCAGTATGCTGTGACTATTAAAATTATAACTTATGTATTATTACTTCATATTGGTCATTATGTTCCAAAATAGATGCTCTTTTTATATAGAACTATATAAATGTAGAAAATCTGAGAAGTTAATTTTATATGGAAAGCCTTCGTGCAAAATTAATAGCATCTTGTTAATTTCATATATGTTTTGTGAAAGTAATTGCTGCTGAATCTAGAATTAATGCATTATCTGAGATTTGAGACAAAATTTGTCAAATTAGAAGATAGTGAAATAGATAAATAGGAAATGAAACATGAAATTTATATATTTAATATTGAAATAAATATCTCAGTAAAGTGGCTGTATGTAAAGTATAATGATGCAATTTTTATAATTTTTTACTAAAATGCTAAAATTATGTGCTATGAAAATTTTATTTTCATTAATATTTATAATTTTTTCCCTCGCAAATTTTTATCCAAGGTGTCTATGTTTTAGCTATTTTAGATTTTTCTGTTTTAATGTTAAAAATATCTTCTTTATCAGCATTATTATTCATTAAATCCATCATTCATAAAATATATCTCATAATCATTTGAAAACGAAGGAAATTTCATTCTTTTCAATAGTTTAAGAATATTTTCATAAAACATAATTATAGAAAAAATGAACTGATACATTTTATAGTTATATATATGTAAAGAAAATTTTTTAGAAGGATCCTTTTTTCCATACCAGAAACATTTCATGAGCTGTAATATGTAATATTAGTTGGCCTAATATGTAAAAGGAATGTTTAATCAAATTATTTTTATTATGCTTTTATAAATATCACTATAATTTTAAGAGTTATTGAATTTAAAAGTGAAAGAAAAAGCTACAGTTATTTCAAGACTCTTTAATAAAACAATTCTTTATTCTTGTATTCTCGTATGAAAATTTTCTGTATATTTAACATAAAATTGTATGCATGTAAATAAATTTTTTAATTTATTATTATCATTCTGTTAGCTTCAATTTTTATTCTCAATAAATTTTGATACATATATTTAATATTCAGCTAAGTTTTATTAACCATGACTGATAAGCATTTTAAATTTCATCCTGTCAAAAAATTTAAAATTCCCTTTTTTTCTTGTAATTTTTTCATACACCTCTCATTTTCTGTTTAATTGTAAATATTGCATACTTATAATTTTATAAAGCATAACTTCCCTTCCCTGAAAAAGCACACAGATTCATTCTTAATTTAAAATTCAATTACAAGTCCAATGTGAAAATGAATTAGCCAATGGAACAAAATAACACATATGTCTTTAATAGAGGACAACATATCAATAATTCCCTTAGTTTCATTTATCCCATTAGCTTTTTTACCTATTAAAAAAATTCTGATTCCCTCCCCCCATGAGTGTAAAGTCATAAATACCACTAATGCACACATTTACATATACACATTTGATGCCCCTTAATGTAGTATAAGTAATGTTACTCTTCATTGATAATGTTTATTTTTATTTTAACTTTGCTTGTATCATTCACTTTTAAAATAAGCACAAATTTCTATTCTGTTTTTTTTTTTTTTTTGGTTATCAGTATTTATTTCAAGATTCACACATCTGCAATTTCCAGCTTCATTTATTAAAATATATTATGCATTTTACTCATTATTTACATTATTTATACATTATTACTGGTATTAATCTTATTATCTTTTATGGATTGTAAACTGACTCTGGATGAAGGAAATTTCCATTATTAAATATTTTCTATTAGCTTAAATAAAACATAAATACACACACGCAGAATGTTTGTTTGAAATAGGTTTTTATGCTTAGTATATTGACTGATCTAAGGATGGAAAAGTTGTACAAATAAAACATGTAATTTTGTAAAATCATTACATTTGTCAAAGTAAGAAATAGGGCAAATATGCAAAATTCTATCTGCAGTGCCAGACTTAATTTATCGATGCTCAGGATGGAA